CTAGGTGCACTGAATAAATAAAATAGAGATGAAGGGGCTGGGGAGCTAGCTCAGTAGAATAAGCGCTTGCCTGGCAAGTGCAAGGGTCTGCATTCAATCCCTGATTCTGCCAAAAAAAAAAAAAATAGAGATGAAATAGAACCAAAAAGGAAGCCTAACATGACAGGACTCCTGAGTTGAATACTGAACAATGAGTGAATGGTGGCATAGAGACAGAAGACAGTCAAAGAAGGAGCATCAGGTACAAAGACTCAGTTTCATAATTTTACATAAAGCTGATCATCAGATGTTTAAAAGAGATAGCAAAAACATTGGAAAACTACATACAAGTTAAATCAGATCTTAAAAATCAGTCTGAAATTTCTCTTTTCAAAAATTTTGAGAGACTGCTACACTTTTTAAAACTATGCTACTGGGAATCAAACTTAGGACTTTGCACTTGCCAGGCAGGCACTTGTGCCACTAAGCTACATCTCTGTCCCTGCCTTTTTTGAAATACTGTGAAAATATGATTCTTTGTAAATGGATGGTTTGGGGGACATGCCCAAGTCATTTGAAATAAGCTGGTCGGGAAGACATTCAGTAAAATACATAAGCAATAAAGCTGGGTGGTATCATGAAGGTATATAAGGTTCTGAGACTTATGTTACTCTGTGGTTAGAAAATTAGCTTGAAGGGAACAGGGCCAAAGCCAGACTTCTCTTTAAGGCCTCCTGACTAGGAGTATGGTCCCACTTTTTCATATCATGAACTTTCCACAGCAACCCGATTTCTGGTTGGATTTTCTGTAAGGGGGTGGGTGTTTCATGATTCCCTTCGCTGGAGTGAATAATTGAAAGTGGAGAGTGATATGTTAGTGCTTCTTTGAAGGATGTAATTAGGTAATATCATGCAAGAAGGAAACTGTCATAAAGCTAATAAAATGCAAATGAGAAGGAACTGCAGCACTGCTCATCTGCATCATCTCATTTGCAGAATTTAAGATGAAACAATAGAGATAAACCAAGAAGTTACACTTATTCACCAGAATTATTGCAGAGTCTTGACCTCTGGCCATCAATCAAAAGGGAACATTCATTGCTGAAAGTTTTTCTTCAGTGTACTAGGATCCGAAATAGAAAGAACAAAAAGTAGCATGCTGAATTGGTTAGAGGTAATATTTTGATTGCATCAATATTCTCAAACTTTTATAACGCATGAGCTGTTTGAGAACATTTAAACATGTGGTCTATCCACACCTGAATTCTCCTACTCAAGAAAAATATTTTTATTACCCCTTTTATTACCTTCTGAATTATAAGAGCTGAATATACTTTAAAGTCGTTGATGACTGTATTAGTCATGATTTGTCCAAATATTTTGAAATGCAATTACATATTTCCTACTACACTTACCTCTTCAGCTTTTGAATTTATGACTTTCAAACATTTCCATCTCCCTGCCCTAAGACTTGAGGTTGATGATAAGCAAATCTTGGCTCATTTTATTCACAACAATCATGATTATGTACACTTAATTATTTCTAATTAGATTTCTCACTTCCAGGTTGAAAGTTCAAATCTAACCTTAAATAAACAAAACCACCTATTTAAAAATTTTCAATTATTTTGAGTTCTTCTCTGAATGTTTTCACATTATGGAATACTTATTTTCGAGGCATAGCAACAGGAACTACATCAGTCTTTCGAAGACACAGAAGGATAAATTCTTTTTTCCAGTATAGCTTTTTCCTTCTTCATTAAGTGCTAGTTGTCTTTATTGACAGTTTGTTGTAATCCAGGAACTAAGGTAGGTGTGCAAATTAAATGTACCACTGTACATACACAATTTAGATGTATCATTGCCAACTGTGTGTATGATCGGTCAATTTAGGAAATAGAAAAACACCAATACCCCAGAAACTGTACCCTCTGTAACCAAACAAAACTCTCTTCTCTCTCTCTTTCAGAGATAGCAATTTTATTGCTTTTTTAAAAAACGCTAGCTGCAAAATGCAGGGCCTTGGATATGCTAGATAAGTATCCTCCTTTTGATCCACATACCCAGCCATGATTATATATA